TCTCTCTCCCCCCCCCTCTCTCTGTATCTCTTTATTATATTAAGTATTAGCATAATTTACGTAAATGGTCATCAACACCACAAGAAATGGCTTTTGCGGGCAATATTATAGTTTAACTTGAAAAAATAGGGTGAAGGATGTTGCGTGGCCTTCGCAAAGATTACCATTCAAGTGAAAACAAATCTCACATGAATTTTCTCAGTCAATAAAGGCTCTCGAAATGTGAATTAACAATAATTATACTATGTCACATGATTTCAGAATAAAGCTTTGAAGATTATTCTATGAGAGACAACACATCTACATACCAGACGAGAGGAGTGATAGCTAGTAAGCTCTCCTGTCAATAATCCCTGAGTACTCTGAGCAGTCCCAGGTGAGACATACGACAAAAGCCTGGCGATCACGAACCAAGATCTCGCTCCAGCTACACGAAGTTGGCAAAAATATAGGAGGACAAACTTCGTAGCTTCCTAGCGATATCCGTCCCTCCCTACAAGCAGACGACAGGCAGGCAAACAGAATACGAGCAACAGACAGCCAAAACGGTGTGGCCGCGTCGTTCGTGAGTAGAGCTACGAAGTGTTTGCTGGTGACGCCGGGACCAGAGGTCCGGGAGATCCATAGTGAGTGGTGCGCGAGTCACGAACATCGATGTCGCCGGCACGGGTGCCGGGGGCCTGGAGGCGAAACCCCTCCTTACAGGGTACCTGGAGAAACCATAGCTCCCCGCGGCAACCGGGGTAGAGGTTTGTGACGTCAAAACCTAATCAACAACACTAGATATCTATGAAAGTTTCTGCTTGTGAAACAGAGCTTTTAAATTTGTAAGATTTGTTTTGTTGTTGTTGTTTATTTGAGGGGGAGGGGCAGGTTTTCTTTCTGCTTTATTCTTGCCGATTTGTTTGTTTTGTTGTTTTATCCTGTGTTGTTTTGTTATATTTTGTCATATTTTATTTCGTTTTTTTCTAAATTTTTATTTCATTTTCATTTGTTTCGATTTTGGTTTTAGGGGGAGGGGATCTTCCTTTTCCTTTTGGAGTTGGGGGTTGGGGTGTCTACAGAAGCATACACAGAAGAAGCGTTAACTTTCTCCGGCGCAGCTCCTTGTTTATTTTAAAATTAGATGCTTTGCATTGAACAGTGTTTATGCTTTTTGAAATATCTTCTAAATCGCTACATCAGCTGTCAGATGACTAGCTGATGTTTTCCTTACACCGAGTGACGCTGAAAGACATTGCATTGCAAGGTGCATGACGCGCCTGCTTTCAAAAATATATAATTTCGATGGCTGTTTTTACTTCCTTTCTTAATGTGACGTATTAAAACGTTGTCCGACGTGAACGAAAATGTCACAATTGCTATTTCGATTCTTACAGTACCGTACCACGGTTTATTTTCACAAAGTCATTTTCAATGTCAGTATTTTAATCCCCCGCACCCCTCTTCCTCCTAAAAAATAATCAACACAATTTACATCTTTTAGGAGGTGGGCTTCGACCCTGACTGCAAGGGCCAACTCAGGCTCAGAGGAACGCAATGACCCAGTAGAAAGACGGAGATATTAGATAAAAGTTTTCCACACACGGGCATCGAACTCAGGTTTTCTGTGTCCGACTGCAAAGCGCCTGACCAGACGCCAGATCACGTAGTCAGTGTTGTTACCCTAGCATGAGAGACACGGACAGCGTTAAACTCTTGTCTTAACAAGCGTGATGTAAAGAACGATTTCTTCCAATTTCTCTGTCGCGCGCTACCGCGCCAGCTATTTTTACACAGAGTTAGAAGATGGACAGGTGGGACTAAAAGGCGGCTATCTTGAAGGTTACAAAATATGGGTTGTCGTTTCTGAAAACTTGGAAGAGCCCAGACTGACGCACATAAAAATATTACAATGCCCGAACGTTCCTGGTTTGTTGTAAGATTTTTTTTAAATGTCTATCGTGAACCCTGATCATACAGAAATCAGGTGCCTGCATGATCACGGGTTTAGCCCTCCTTTTTCAGGGGTCAGGTAGATATATGCCCTCTTTTTTCACAGGTCTAGAAGGCAAATTTCTGGTCTGGTAGATAATACTTACATTAATGATAACTGGCTCTTCAGAAAATATACATGTAACCTGCTCTTGTAGCCACACGTTAAGTGCTTGGTCAGAAAAAATATATTTATAGATAGCATTTGTACAGCGCAAATTCCCGCTCAACAGCCAGCTCTGTGCGTTTTATAATCCATACTATTACCCCAGAAGATCTGGTAGCATTTTGTAACAATCTCAACTTCCTAGGAAGCATACGGTGCAAGCTGCCATATAAAGGCGCTAAAAGACTAACATACTGCCAGCTGACATGATATTTCGCTGTCTATATCTTGGTACCCATTCCCACCGGGGTGAAGTGAGGAAAAATCGTGTAAAGTTCTTTTCCCAAGGACACAACGTCGGCCTGCGGCTCGAGCCCTCGAACTCGCTACCACATGATTACGAGTC